TTAAGTATTAGGTCATAAAGAAAAATGAAATGGAAATAGCATGATTCCAAAAAAGAAAACCAAAGTTGGTCCATTGAAGTGATCAGGAAAATAGACAAACCTCTGGATAGACTAACAAGGTAAAGTAACAAGTAAAGACAAATAACCAAAATAAAAAATGAAATTGTTGATATTACAGCTTACTCAATAGACATGAAGAAAAGCATAATTGACAAATATAAAAAAAAAAATCACACCTCAACAAATATGAAGAGTTAAATGAAATGGAAAATTCTTAGGAACACACCAACTACCCCAACCTAACACAAAGGTAGAATATTTAAACAGACCCATTAAAAAATTAGAGATTTATAATGCTAAACAATTGGCATCAAGGAAAACAGTTCCTAGGACCAAATTGGCACAATGATGAGTTCTACATTCACAGAGTTGGCACCAATGCTACTTAATTTCTTCAGAAACATAGAAGGACATTACAGAACTCTATGAAATAAGCATAAACCTGGTAAAGACAGAACACACACATGAAAAGAAAAAGAACGTAATTACATGCTTAAAATCCCTTGTTAACATAAATATATTTTCAACAAAATTCTAGACAACAGACTTCAACAACATATCAAAAACCAACTACAAAAATACAGAGAAAAAGATCCATGTAATCATATCAAATAATGCAGAAAGTGTTTTGAGAAATATTTAAACCCAACTCTTAGCAAAACTGGGAATAGATAGGAAATTTTCTTACCTCATGAAGGGCACATTTCCAAGTCAAGAGCCAACAAAATATTCAATGGAGAAAGGCTGTGTGTTTTCCTTTTGAGAAGAGGAATAAGACAAGGATTATTATTAACACCATTTTTATTCATCACGCTTCTGAAACATCTAACAAATAAGACAATAAAGATACATAAAACGTATTCCAATATTAAAAGAATAGCAGTCACTGATGACATGCATATAAGAGAGGGTACCCCCAAAAAATATATAGGAAGGAACTCTGCTGGGAGGCACTTTCATAGTATGCATTTTTCATGTTAGGGGAGTTTCAAACAACTTACTCTGAGTTAGTGCACCAAGTGGCATCACCTGAGAAGGCTCTAATCACAGTGAATATTTTTGTCAAAGCAGTTTCGCTCAAACTTCATTTTTTGTGATGACCAATTTAAGAGAACAGTGTGTGGCTGGGAGATTTTGTTTCCTGCTTGGAAAAATGCTGCAGAACTGTTGTGGCATTGAACACAGCTTACAAGGACAGTGCTATTGGAAAATACTCAAGTTTGCCCGTAGTTTTCTCATTTCAAAAAAGGTGAAATATTGATTAATGACGAGGTTCATTCTGGACATCATCAACTTCTGGAATGGACAAAAATGTCAACTCATAATGCCTTTGGAGTTTGTTCAACCACATCAGACTTTTAATCAAGCGTTCTGTTTAGAGATTATGAAAAGATTGTCTAACAATGTGCAAGGGGGGAAAAGGGCCTGGCTGTGGCAGAGAAGGGACTGGTTTTGCCACCACAACAAATACACCTACTCGGGCAGCCATCTCAGTGTGCCATTTGGGGGCACAAAACAGCATGGCTCTCTTGCCCCGAGGTCCTTACTCACCTGCTCCCAGTCTGTGCAACTTCTTTTTGTTTCTCAAAATGAAGAGGAACATGAAAGGACAGTGATTTGACAATGTAGAAGAGGTGAAGAAAAAAGCAAGGGGCATTTGAAAAATGTTTTCATGTATGGAATAACACATTTGAGAAAAACATATAAAGTGTAATGGAGAGTACTTTGAAGGTGATAAAGTTTTTTTTATTAAATACATAGCTTTGAAAATAATTTCATTTGGAGGGGTACCCCCTCATATACATTGAAACCCTACAGATTTCACAAGAAGACTACTAAAATGAATAGAACAATTCAGCAACACGCATGACTCAAGATCAATATGTGAAAATCAGTTTCAAATGATGAAGATTTCTCTGAAACAAGAAATCAAAATAGATCATATCATTTTGAGTTGCTTGACAAATTATGAAATACCTAGGAATGAACATAATTAGGAATATAAGATAGGAACTGTGGAGGCTGGCAGGTAAGCTCAGTCTGGTAACTGAAAAGATAGTAGCTCAAATCCACCTGCAAATCCAAGGGAGAAAGATGAGATATAGATGATGAATCATACTTAATTTTATTATTTTTGATTACTGATTGAAACACTCCATATTTTCCAGTTCTATTTATTACAGGTGTCTAATTCAGTGACATCATTTATGCCAGTGAGACATGCATCCATATCCTTATTCACTGTGATTTTTTTTTTTTGGTCATCATGAACAGAAACTCAATAGTCCCTATACAATACCCACCCCTGTCGCTGGTAATCCCTAATAAACTTTGTTCGGTATACATGTGGTCTCATCTTTTTCATATATATAAGTGAAGTTGTGATAGTTAGTTGTGATGTAAACTTGTTGCACCTGTTTCAAGGTAGGAGGGAATCCAACCTATCAATCTGGTCACAGTGTGATGAGACCTACTTAGGGATGTGGCACTTTTGTATAGAAACACTGAGGAAAACTCTAGAACAGCTTCATCTCCATAAAAGCTTCCTCTCTTCACCTTCTTGCTTACCTAGATTATGTGGCGCTGAGGTTTGTGGTCCATGTAGCCTAGACAACTCTGGGAGCCACTGGCACCCTGCTCTCTTCCTCCTGACCCGCAATATCTCCACCTCTAGCTTCACCTTTCTGTTTCTTTAGTTGGCTGCCATGTAAGTCTGGTAGGGATTCTGGACTGGAGTTGGATTGGGATGCTTTCTGAATATAAATTGCTTTCTTGATATAAACTTATCATTTATACTTATATGAGTGTGCTTGCTCTGTTTTCTTCTAGAAAATCCAACTTAAATGAGAAGTCATACATTATTTGTCCTATAGTGTTTGACTTATATCACTTATCTTAAAATATATGAGTGATGTCAATACTATAGCATGTATGTCATGATTTCTACTTCTGGCTTAGTATATCTCATTGTATGCATGTACATGTTATTTATCTATTCATTTATGGACTGGCATTTAGGTTGCTAATACATTTTGAATTAATATACATGCATCTGCCTATATCACAACTCTCAAGCACCTTAGGTATAATCCTATAAATTGGATTGCTGTGTCCTATTGCGTACTTATTGGAGGAACTGATACAGAGATTTCTAAAAAGGGTGTATCATATTGCATTCCAATCAACAAATGATTATGGTTTTTCCAATGTCCAAAACCTTTGTCAACATTTTATTATTATGATTTGTTTACCTTTCTCTTTCTAGTGGGAATGAAATAGTATTTCATTATAATTCTGAATTTCATATCTATAACCACTAGAAAGAAAGCAAATGGGATTTAAGAAAAAATGGAACATTAAAGTTTACAGACATGTTTACAAACTAATACAATTATCCATTGAGGTACTTAGTTTATTGTGCCAACCTGGCCAATAAACACGTGTGGGGTTAATTGAAGGGTGGAGGGATAAAAGGCTTGATGAGCCTCACCTTTCTAGTTCTTGGGTCTCTTGCTTTGTGATGGTCACACCAGGGTGCAGCTGCCTTACCAGTTCCCTGCTTCAACTTGCAAGGCTGACTTCCTGCAAGACACCCCCAAGGAGAAGCCACATGGACCTACCCCGATGCAGCCCTGGGTGCTGGAACACCCGTGTGGAGACCCCTGCCAGCACTGAGATGCTTACATATTCACTGACTCGGCTTTTCTCCTGCAGTCGGCATCATAGTGTGTTTTTTGTGAGATGGAGGAGGACTTTGTGGATTGGTGTCAGACATATGGGTTAATGTTGGACTTGTGGGCTTGGGCAGCACTGGGTTGGGATGTTTTCTTGATGCACACTTACCCTTTATATAAAACTCTCTCTTATACATGAGTTTCTGTGGATTTGTTTCTCTAAAGTCCCCAGATTAAAACATCCATTCTGTAAAAACTGCTGCAAATGGGTGGCCATTTTCTGTATGGAGACATCTAATACTAAGACTAAATATTAGTATTAAGATATTATTTGTTTCTATGATATATGTATATTTAATTTCTAACATTCAGAGTTATTTTTACTTTGAGCTTAACTTTCTTCCTATCAACATCCTCCCTAGGGGTCTCTACTGCCTTCTGAAGGACACCACACATATTAAGGCTTGGGCATGTTGTCCCTTCCCAGGCTTGATCTCAACCTTCAGTGTCAATGATTTTCTCATACCCTTAAGCCTTTTAATCACTCCACATAGTACATGCTTCCATGCAGTTTTATTAATGTCACACCACATATTCTAAATAAAAACTTACTATTTCAAGAAAAGTTTGATGTATTTATTCTCTGAAGTGACTGAAGGGTGGAACTACCAACCTTTTGGTTCACATGTAAAATGTTTAACTACTGCACCACTCGTGATCCTTACATGTACACGTGCTTGAGCACAAATTGAATTTCTAATACTTAAAATTATGTGAACTTACAATTCTCTAAATATGTTTTCTTCTGATGTAAAGAGGCTATAGTAGCATCTGCCAGGAGTCCCCGGGCAGTGGCTCAAATGGGGTTCTCAGGTATAACTGAAAATGTGGTGGTTCCTTTCCAGAGAATCCTTGAAGAAAGGCCTAGATCCAGTACTTCTGTTTCATTTATTGCCAACCCAATGGGGTCAGTTCTACTCTGACCTACAGCGATCACCCTGTGTCTGAGTCGACTAAAAAGCGGCTGAAGACAATCCATTGAACACGATCATTTTTGAAAGTTAATGCATCTAAGTCTCCTGATTCATGGTAGTTGTATTTTGTTTGGTTTCTTTTACAATACTTGCCCACTCGTTAGAATTTCCTTTTATAATAAAATAAGAAATTGTCTCAAGAAACATTTCACTCTAGACCAACAGAGTTCTTATGTTGGAGGCATTCTGTTAGTTCATAATCATCCATGCTCCTACTTTCAGTGGAGTGAAATCACGAGTAGAGATTAACATGATCAGTGCCCACATATCTTTTGGTTATTCCGAACATTTTCCTAAAATGTCACAAAATTTAACATGTTTGTGTGCTAAGTCTGTATGTTGCTTATTTTGCCTCTGTTTTGAAGTGTATACAAACAAGGTAATATCTTTGAAGGTAGTGGAAACTCTGTATCACTTCACATATCCTTGGAGTAAGCAACAAGGAGAAAAAGGGTTTTGATTTTTTTTTTCCATTGAAAAACAGTTTATTTTAAAAACTTTTAGCAACAAGAAGAGTAACAAAACAAAAGGAGACAGACAAACAAAACAAGGAGGAGGCTGTATCCTGTGGGACTTGTCTCCGTCCTTTAATCAAGTTCTTTATACCGCGCGAACATGACTTCGCAAGGCGTCTCGGTAAGTCTCGTTGGACTGTCTCTTGCTGGTTCTTCCGGGGGCTCCCCCACCGGGGCCCCGCATCTTGCCTTCAGTCTCTTC